ATCTAAGGAAGAAGCTCTTTGCCTTGCCTACGCCCGGTACTACACAACTCATGTATGGCGTGTCTAAGGTAGAGGCCTTTGAGACATCGTGCCTAGTGTGGTAAAACACCACGCCTAGCCTCATCTTAGGTAGAAAGTCTCTACCTAAGTCTCACCCGACGTCACTACCTTAGCGCCCAGCAAAATCTAGAGAGAGAGTTCTGGCTTGGACATGCTAGGCGCCACTCAACTTTAGGTCCCACATCACCAAGTTAGAGAGCCCTCAAGGTTCCCACGCCCAATGCCATTAAACCATTCTTGACATCATTTTAATCCGAGATGAGTCTCTCTTCTCATGCCTAGTGTCACCAATCTTACGCTTGACATGATTGAGACAGTGAGCCTCAAGTTAGAACAACGCTCGATGCCTTGAAGGTGTGCTTGTGTGACATCAGAATTCTACATATGCAAAACCTGATTTCAAGCCACAACTTGAAATCTAGCAAATATTCAATACATTCAACATCAAACAAAAAGTTATATGTCACAATCAACTCGAAAATGTAATCAAATCAAACATGCAAACAAGATTTTGCAAATAATCAATGATTTTGGCCAACAACTCAAAAACCCCATTTTGTACCTTCTTCTCACTTTGATTTCCTCAACACAACCACACGCAATTTAGATTCCACATTACACATAACTCAAATTAGTCTACCGATTCTCAATTCATCCAACACAAAGATTTCCAACTTTCCTTACCTTGAGGTAACTCAGGTTCGAGGAAGAAGCGAAGAAAGATTGGGGCTCCACATGAAATCAACTATTGGATTTAGTTTTTCAACCACTTGAATCACAAACAATATGGCTCAGAAAAAGGATTGAAAGAAAAAAAAAAGAATATTTGTTTACGGTGGAATCAGTTCATGGATTCTTTTTATTCGAACTAGCACAAGAAGTGTTTCAATTTAGGTATTTGACGCTTTTATGAAATGAAGAACAAGAGATGGAGTAGAAAGATTCAATAATTACTTGTTTCCAAATATTCGTCAATGATCAACAAACAATAATGTTCATGCATATAAATCCTCAAATAAACCGAATGAACGATAAATATATTTGCAATACAAATCATGGTTCACTTCACATAACATTCAAGAGTTACAATATTAAAGCTCTATAACTACGTGATTAAAAGACGAAAACTACACTAATGCTAATCCTAAAAAAGAGAAAAGAAATGTGGCCAAGAAATGGTCATACCCAGCAATTCCTTGCACGAAAGCCATATGCGCAGGCGGTGAGTGCTTGAGAGTTTCAAGTATGATGTTTCTGACCCCTTTTGAGGGGGCATGATTCCCATATTTATAGATTTTACTTGAGAGCGGTTAATCCTGTATAGATGAGTCATGAGTGTGTAACCGCTGCCCACTACGCTAATTTCACGGAATCCATATAACTTCTCACAACCGTCCCCTCCACGTTCTTTGTTTCTTCGACCAAGTTTTGGTAACTGCTTAACTGCTCAGAGAACCTTCCACCTCTTACGTTTTTCGATCAATTCTCGAGTTCGTATATTTAGGGCTTCTAATACATTCTTGGTAGGTACCAATTTGTTTGTCTTTCTTTCGAGTAGGTGTAACTTTCAAGTGATATAGCTTTCGAGTAGCCCCAACAATATTGAGAGAAAAAAAGCTCACAAACCAGATACCTTCTTTCTAAAATTCTTTCTCTAGAGAGAAATAAGTTCATGAGGTTTTGTTCAAACGAAAACCTTATATACACTTCCCTTCAAGGTTAAACTGCATCTTTGTCTAGAGAATCCCCTCTTAACACCACTGATCCTTTAAAGGGATCCTTAAACCCCCAAGCCTCTTGAAATTGACAACTCAACTTAACAACATAAAACAACAGGAAATAATATAATATTATCACAACTTACAGTGTTACACACTTATTTATCTAAAATTAGTATTGACCTTCAATAATTCTTATCGCCTTTTATTTGAATAAAATGAGTAAAATTAAAAAATTGTACCTTGAATATCTCGATAAATATTTACATAAAATGAGTAAAATTAAAAAATGTACTTTGAATATCTCAATAAATATCTACATTACGAGGAAATAAAATAATATAAGAAGATATATGTGATATGCGTAAAATTATGTAAAAAAATTCATTAAAAATTATAATAAAGTTATAAAAGAGATTATGTAAATATGCTTTTGAATAGCATTTTTTTACTTTTAATTTTTTTATAATCTACTTTTAACTCTTTAATTAATTCACTTACTTTTTAATACATAAAAAAAAATACTATACCAACGGTACTTTTTACTCTTTAACTAGGTTATTAATGTCTATAATAAATGTCTCTTAAATATCAATATTTATTAAAACCTATAAATAAATAGAAAATTTGTTATAATCTTTTATGTTTGTCAAAATAACATTAAAGGCACAAGTAACTAATTATTCTTATCTAAAAAATTTATCAATAATATTATCTATAATTAAGTTCATGAAACTTATATATCTTAGATGTATCAATTAAAGATGTGACTTTTCCGTCTCAATAGTATGTTTTTCTATCAAATACTACAATCACTAAAAGAAGAATTATATAACATTTACAAAATTACATTTCTATTTGCATAAATTAAAAAGAAGACAACATAAAGAATATTTGCTTAGCTAGAGATACTAAAGAGAAGATATAGTAATAAAGAGGAAGCACGTTAATGAATGAGAAAAAAATCATGTACATTATAAATTTATTATTTTCATGTGAACAATTTTTTAGTTTTATTTATAATTTAACTAAAGTTAACTAGAATTAGCATTAAGAAAGTTGTTTATTTTTTAAAAACCAGATAGAAAGTGTATATTATTTAGGTTAATTGTAAGAGTGTTGAATGTAATTTTTTTAAATAAATTAATTTATTTTGAAAACAGTAATAAACTGAGGTGTTTTCTATGTAGAGAAGAAAGAAACCGAAGCACCCACCATGCACCGCGTTCCTTTCTTCTCTGTACTCTAAACTCTTTCTCACTTTCCAGTTCGCACAACAAATAACATCGGTCCATCTTTCATCCGAAACCGACACAACAAAACAACTCTTCAATACCTTTTTCGCTTTCATATCTTCTCTTTACAGCAATTCAAACTTTCGTTATTTTCATACCATTCATTTGATTACATTTGTTAATTATTTTCTTCCCTTTGTCATCTCCTCCTAGTCCAAAAGGTTTCTCAAATTATACCTATTATTATTATAGCTTTCCCTAGAACCACAATTAGGTGACACCTTAACTCAATCACAAAAAAAAAATATATGTTGAGGTAATTAATACTATCGAGTCTTTTCTTTCTTCATTGGGGACTAGAGTATACAATATTTTTCTTCACAATTTGCAATATTTCATGAAAAATATAGGACACAGAGAAATTGATTGGATCGAGAGAATTTTTAGAAAATATTTTTAACAAGATTTTTATGAATTATTTTATTCATTTTTCTATATCAAACCTAAACATATTTCTTATGCAATAATATTTTTTTAGAGACTTTTTCTTTTAACTAGAAGGTTTATAGAAATTTTTAAAAAAAAATCTAATATTTTATCTATTTCAAATTTTATTTTATCATATTTATTTATAAAATAATTTTAAAAAAAATTTTATAGGTTAAACACAATTATCTATCTTGTACAAAAGCTCTTGGGGATTCTTTTAACTTCTAATATTTTTTCAAATTTTATTTTTCATATTTATTTATAAATTAATTTCTTATAACTTTAAAATAAATTATTAATAATTAAAAATAATTTTGTATTATAATATAAATTATATATTACTAGAAGGATCGAGAAAGTTCATATTTCTAATATTTACATAGATAAAATATAAGATGATTGTGACTGATTATTCAGAGAAAATATAATAAGGTATCTTTTTTTAACATTCAAGGGTTATAATGGTTTATTAAAAGGGGAGACAAAAAACAATTATCAACCATGATATTCTCTTTATAATAGATATATATAAATATAAAATATATATATATATATATTAAACATGAACAAATATAGTAAAAATATTTTTAGAGATTTTTCTTGAATGAGGATTCTTAAGGATTGTTTTTAGAAAATTCTCTCTAACAAGAAGATTTTTAAGAGGTTTTCTAACATCCAATTTATTTAAAGTTTTATTTGTCATATTTATTTGTAAAATAAACTTTAAATTTTTTTAAATAAATAAAATCATAAATATTAAACACAACTGACTAACTTGTACGAGAGCACATGTTCTTTAGGATTTCTCTCGAACATATAATTTTAGAAAATCTTTCAATTTCTACTCTTTTTTTAACTTTTATTTATCTTATTTATTTATAAATTAATTTTTATAATTTTAAAATAAATTATTAATAACTAAAAATAATTTTATGTCACAATATAAGTTATATAATATAAATACAAAATCTAATTTATATATTCACTTCTCTATATTAAACACGAATAATTATATTACATGAAAATATTTTTTAAGGAATTTTTATTCATCCCTATATATTAAAAATAGTTATTTTGTATAATAATATTTTTTAGATTTTTCTTTATTGAAAAGATCTTTAGAAATTCTTTTAACTTTTAATTTAATTCAATGCTTATTAATAATATTTATCTATAAAATAAATTTTAATATTTTAAAAATAAATTATCCATTTTAAAAATATTAATATAAATATTTATCATAAATTTAAAAAATATTTAATATATTTAAAAATATATATTTACATAAATCTTAAATATAATATTAATATTTATACAAATTTAGTTGTACATAATTAAATATTGAATCTGTAAATTTATTTACCAAAACATTATGTTAAAATACTAGTTATATAATAAAATAGAACTTTTGGCAGTTTTTACCGTTCAAGTACAATAGAGAATTTTTTCCTATAAATAATTAAATTGAATCACTTTTAGTCGCAAGACAATTCTTTTCTCTTTTCGCCAACTCAGTTTCGTTCTTCGTGTGAGTTTCACTTTTCATTGCCACGCTCACTCTTCAAGAACAAATAAACACTACCCTTTTGTTATTTTCATTGATTTTGTGGGGGTGATGGGAAAAGGTTGGTTTTTGAGATGGGTTTTGGTGATTGTGATGATGGGGTGGTGTGTGGAAGGGCTTGGGGTGAATTGGGGGACTCAAGCCACGCACCAGTTGAATGCAGACACTGTGGTTCAAATGCTGAAGGACAATGGGATTAAGAAGGTGAAGCTTTTTGATGCATATGAGTCTAGCATGGATGCTTTGGCTGGGTCTGGGATTGAAGTCATGGTTGGAATTCCCAATAACCTGCTTGCTGAGATGAATGACTATGATCGTGCCTTGCAGTGGGTGAAGAAGAATGTTACTCGTTACAACTTCAGGGGTGGAGTTAACATCAAGTGAGTTACTGCTTTCACCTTTTGTTTTCTTGTTTTGTTTTGTTTTTAATCAACACTTGAGGTTGTCAATTTTCTAAATGTGGGGTGTGTGACTTTAATCTTGATGGGGTATCAAATGTAAGTGATCAGTTGTTTAATGTTTGAATGATGGATCTGATCTGAGTGTGTATTTGATTTCTTGTTTTACTAGTTAGTTTGGATTGATGTGGCCTATGTTGGCACGTGTTTGGTCCCAACTCTGGATGTGATTTTCACGTTAAACTGAAGTTATCAGTTACAACTTTTTCATTATAAACGTGAATTCATGGTTGGATCTATGTAAGTTTGCTTGCACTGAAACCGTTTTGGAGGAGACTTGTAAAAGTAAACTTAGGTTGTATCTCTTTTGAATACAGATTCTCTTTATTGGTACTTGTGGTGTGGCTTCTTGTGGGTCTGTTTCAAGAGTCGATTTTAATTGGCGTATTCAACTAACTAGACCTATTTTCTAGATAAACGTATTAGACGCGTGCGCCAATTATTCCTTTTCAAATAAGAAAATTAATCAAAAGTTTACCCTTTGAAAATAAATAATTTTGAGAAAGCTTATTTCACTTCTTCCCTTCTCATCTTGAATAAGTGTAAAACATTGGATCTTGAATGAATGTTGAAAGACATGCATAAAAGGAATATTTTGGATAAATAAAATATTACTTACTATTGAAAATTAGAATTGACATTACAAAATTTTATAAACTTGAGCTTCACAAAACTATTGCCCTATCCTAGAATTTTATTCTTTTCTCAATTTATGATTTTTGTTACAATGAATTGTGTACATTGGTTTAAATTTGGGTTCCATAAGTAACATTTGTTAATATGGACAGGTATGTAGCAGTTGGGAACGAGCCATTTTTGAGATCCTACAATGGTTCATTCTTGAATATCACACTTCCTGCATTACAGAACATTCAAAATGCCCTGAATGAGGCAGGCCTAGGAGACTCCATAAAGGTCACAGTGCCCTTAAATGCTGACGTGTACGAGTCTCCACAGAACAATGCTGTTCCCTCAGCAGGAACCTTCAGGCCTGACATAACTGGCCTAATGACCCAAATACTGCAATTCTTGGCAAAAAATGGTGCACCATTCACAGTCAACATTTACCCCTTCTTGAGCCTCTATGGGAATGACGACTTCCCTTTTGACTATGCCTTTTTTGATGGTGTCACCAATCCCATAATTGACAATGGCATTTCTTACACCAATGTTTTTGATGCAAACTTTGACACCTTGGTGTCAGCCCTCAAAGCAGTGGGCTTTGGGGACATGCCCATTTTGGTAGGAGAAGTGGGTTGGCCCACAGATGGTGACAAAAATGCTAATATGGCCAATGCTTTGAGGTTCTACAATGGGCTTCTCCCCAGGCTTGCAGCAAACAAAGGGACCCCACTTAGGCCCGGGTTCATGGATGTTTACCTATTTGGGCTTATTGATGAGGATGCCAAGAGCATTGCCCCAGGGAACTTTGAACGCCACTGGGGGATTTTTAGGTACGATGGGAAGCCCAAGTTTGAAATGTATCTTTTTGGCAAGGGACAAGACAAGTTACTAGTTGGTGCACAAAATGTGGATTATCTTAATAAACAGTGGTGCATGTTAAACCCTGATGCAAAGGATCTAAGCAAACTTGCTGATAATATAAACTATGCTTGCACCTTTGCTGATTGCACTTCACTTGGATATGGCTCTTCTTGCAACAACTTGGATGCTAATGCGAATGCCTCGTATGCTTTCAACATGTATTATCAGACTCAGGATCAGGATTACATGGCATGCAATTTTGATGGTTTGGCAAAGGTTACTACAACTGATATTTCAACACCTACTTGCAATTTCATTATTCAGATCAATCCTTCCAAGTCCTCTTATTTGAGGCCCCCACTAGTGGCTTTCTTGTTTCTCACTCTACCCTTGATTCTATTTTTGTAGGATCTTGTACATACATTATTTTAGGTGCTATTTTTTTGGTATATCTATAGGTGCTATTTATATTTTTTTCAATTATTTTTATTTTTCATCTATCAAAATTATAATAATAATATCAAATGTTGAATTTAAAACTTTGTATATGTTATTTTAAGTTTCACCATTTAGTCAACTTTAATGATTTTTTATGAATTATTTTAGTTGATGACAGTATTATAGTTTATACTTTTGAGGATTCAATTGATAAAGAATTTTATACACTTGGCATTATAGATCAGATGGTGAATGTATGGCTTGTAAGGGCCACAAGAGTTGTTGCTCTTAAATGCGTTTGACCGTTGATTCTGTGATCTAATTTTGCAGTGTTCACTGTATTGGGAAATATCAAACAATTATATTAAATGCTTGTTTGGAACTAGGAGCTTCCACCCGTCAAATCACGTTAAATGCTTCACCATAATGTGTTTGTTTTTGCGTTGACACACTTTTCAACTTGGTTAAAATTTTCAATTGGTGTTGAATGGATAGCGTAAAAACAAACAAAACCTAATGTATGTATTAAAGTGTTAACGTGAGTAATTTACGGTAATAATCTTACTCTCCGATGAGAAAAGGAACATGATGTAAATTTGTTTTTGTCTTTTAAATGTAAGATTGATTTGTATAGTCATTTAATCTGGAAAAAAAAAACTTATTTTATTGATTTTTTCATAGAATTTCTCCATTTAAATCTCACTAATGAATTTTTTAAATAAAAGTTTTTTATTATTTAATTTACTACACAACTTGTCTACTAAGTTAATAGTACCTTATGAAGGAAAATATTATATTAAACAACATCACATCAAATATAATTATCGATGAAATCACATTAATTGATATTAAATAATCGATTCAAATTATTATTTTAATGTTATTGATGTTTTTCAAGAAATAAACTAAGTTTTTTTATTAAAAAAATTATAACTAAAGACATCATATTTAAAATTTTGAGATATAAAAACAAATTTATCTCAAAATTAAGTTATTAGAAATATATTTAAATTATAATAAATTAAAGAAATTATCATCATATATTCACTTTTCTTTCATCTCATTTTCTCCTTCATTTTCTTCTTATATTCTCTTCTTTTCCATCACATCAATATTTATTCTATTATTTTTTTTCTCGGTCATTTTTTTTCCTTTCCTCTCAATGTCGTATTTTTGCCTCAATTCATTCCAAAATGAGATGAACTTATATCACTACTTGAAAATTAATGGTGGATATCATATATACAAGAGTACAGCTACAGACTCCGAAATTTTTATCCAAATCATCCTCCGATTATTAAAAAATTAATATTTTTAATAAAATTATTATAAAATAATTATTTAATTTAATATTTTATAATTTAAATTATTATTTTAATTATTCGGAATTTATTTTGGAATCTCATTCGGAAGTTTTATCATTTTCCTATATACAAATAGTAGAGTGGGTTACCCGTGCACGAGTTAAGTAGTGAATGAAATTATCTATTAAATTTAAATTTAATTAAAATATAATTTGATATTTAAAAATATTTTTGACCAAAAAAAGTTTTTTTTTTTTTTTTTGCTAGTTTTAAAAGTTGTAGTGAGTTCTAAATATCCAACCAAATGTAAATGACTGTTTTCTTCTTATTTTTAACAACTTGTATAACATTTTTTAATATGACATCATTCAAAATGTATATTGATTTTGGTTTAATATAAGTTGTTTTTAATTGGAACACGGATGAGTACTCTCAGATTTTTTTATTTATATTAAAATAATATTTAATCAATAAAAGTCACGTTTCATGAATGCAGATTAACTATCAATTATCAATTTTAATACACTGTATAGGTTATATCTATAAATAAATAAAAAATCTAAAAAAAAACCTCAGCATTTACCTTTTGTAACGTTGATTTAAAATTTTTAACTGAATTAATTTAATTATATAATTTCAAATAATCTAGTTAACTTTATTTAAATTCATTTAAAATTGATTTTTATTACTCAAATAAAGTATATAGCGATCACAACTTCTTTAATAATTCATATTACAATATATCGATCGTAATTATCATAACTAATACAATTATCATAATTATATACACATATTTAATTATTACACTAATTAATTTATTTGCATCAATAAAATTTCTAGTAAGCTTTAATAATTACATTAAATAAAAAATAATGTGTCTAACTCTTTTTATTAATCATGTCATAAAATTTTATATCAAACCAAATTAAATGAATATTACTTTTTTTTCTTTTATCATTCAATAAAAAATATTTATATTATTTATTTATTTTATTATTTTAATTGATATCAAATATAATTAAATATTTATCATTCAACTAATTTATAATTAAGGACAATTACCTTAATTTTTAATTTTTCTTTTAATATAGGGATATAAGAGTAAATTGGTATATGGTAAATTTGGTCGCCCATGTTCAAGCTAAAAATCAAATCTTAGTCCTACATTTAATATAGTTCTTTAATTAAACATGAGATTAGTTAAATGGTTTGTGGGAATTTTTTAACATATTATGTAATTCAGTTTTATTTATCATAATTATTTATAAATTAAATATTAATATTTTAAAATAAATAATTAATAAATAAAAATAAATTTGTAGTTATAATACAAATTATTTATCATAAATCTAAAATAAAATTTATATGTTTAAAAACATTTATATATACGAATTTGAATTTTAAATATAATTTATATATTTAAATATAGTATTTATTTTTTATATATAATTTTTTTTTATAAATTTGAATTATATTTTTTTATTCTAGAAATTTTAATTATATCATCTATAACATAATAAAGGGGATTACTCCATTTAGTGTACACATTTTTTAGATGATTTTATTATTAAAGTTTTAAGTTATAAAAAATAATATTAAAAATCAATTATTTTTACGAACATAAGATTTAAACTCAAGACTTTTATGTTTGAGAATTAAACACAACACTAATTAATCTAACAAACATTGATAATTTGTTAACACTTTTAAACATTGATAACAAACATTAATAATTTTCTGAAGACATGAAATGCATCAACTCTACTAATATATAATAAATATTTTATACACTTCACTACTAGTTAAAATTAAAATTTTAAATTAGTTATCTATATTTTAAATCGTCGTCCATCAAAATGTCTAAATTTAATTGAGACACCAAATTTAAAATTCAGGAGGAAAAAATGTTCGGTTTAGTGTCAAATATTTTATTTTTATAATTTTTTTACTGTCCACCAAATTCTGAATAAAAAAATAATAATGACATTGAATAAAAATTCGTATTATTTTTGGGCATCGTAATGAAATTAAAATTTGAATGTGAAATATATTTTATACTAAAAAAACAGAAACGAAACGCCCATCATTAGCATATTATAATGTTAATTGATTCTTTTACAATATGAAATAAATTTTTGTAAGTAGCGTTCAAGAAATATATTTTATAATAAAAAACAAAAATAATAATTATTTGTATAATATAAATGTTGATAATCACAAAATTTATTACGTTTAATGTTGATTGATTATTTAATAATATAATTTATATAATTATTTATTATATAATGAATGACTTATTTATGTAAAAAAATAATTATAGTTAGTATCCCAATCATATATTTAAGAAGAATCATATATCAAGACGTATTTGATGTGATTAACACGTCATTCAAACTTTTGAATAGATTTACAAATATATTTATAATGATATGATATGATTAATTGTGTAATTAATTGTAAATATTAAAATATTTATTTCTTTAATTAAAATTATAAGTATTATCAATTATTCTTACATAGTTTAATATATGTATTTTCATTATTGTTCTTACCTAAATTTACGAGTGCTTCAACAATGAGAATGGTATCCTAACTGTTCCAATATCTGTGATAGTGAAAATATCTATAAAGACACTTTGACGTCAAGTTGAAGAGAAATTTAGATTAAGAATGAGATTAAGATAGAATGATACTTGGTGCCCCCATATATATATATATATATATATATATAAGTCCACGTACCCCCGGGTGTGAACGCTTCTTCCTGCAAAACCGACTAGGGGTTCTGTGTGAGGTTGTATGAGAGAATGGGGGATGTCTAACCTGAGGAACGTTGGTCAGTATAGGATATCGGCCGAGCTCCCTTGGTCGACCAGGGTCTTGTGCACCTCCTAGTTAGCTAACGCCACGGCTATAACCATGGGGTCATCCCGGTTGGAGTTGACCCCAGCGTAGTCGTCGTTTGTGAAGGTGATCGTCGGCGAGCTCTGGTGCGAAGCCGAGGTGGTGAGGTGTACGCGGTTGATGTTGCGCAGGTGTTTTTTCCGGGCTGAACTGCTGGCGCCCCCTCCTGCGAAACCTCCTGCGATCGTACCGATTATTCCCCATAGGGGAGTTGATCCTGTTTCCTGGTTTACCTCGCCTCGCATTGCTTTGCCGGGGTTGAGTTGAGAGCTGGGGGGGTGATCAGGGTGTCGCCGTCGGGGTTGAACGTGAACCCTTTTGTTTTCCGCGCTCAGAGTCGCTAGGTCGACTTCGTTGATGGTCTGCATTGCCGCCAGGTCAGTTTCGTGCTGGGCGCGCATGTTGCGCAGGTCAGTGTCGTGTTGTTGTCGCATCTGCTCGACTTGGTCGATCAGTCTTCTCAGGATTGCAATGTCACTGTCCATGGTAGTTGAGTGATCTACGTCGTCTATTGTGTGTCTACTATGGCTTTTGGTGAAAACCATACAGGTGGCCGATAAGAGCCGTCTTGATCGACCCCACGGTGGGCGCCAAATGTTCTTACCAGAAATGTGCTGTAGAGCTGATCCGCCAGGTAAGATCGGTGAGCCTCCTTCACTGGTACGCTGGTGCTCCAAGATGGGGTTGGTACCTGCAAAAGAGACTCCGATGCTAAAGTTAGTGTTTGTGGGAGTATGAATCTCGTATATGTAATACACGTACCTTAGTATGAATTAGGGTTGCTTTGGGCCTTGGGCCTGAGATAAGATATGATATGATATAATGTGGTTAAATAGTGGATCTCGTCTGGG